CACCTACACACACCATTCCCATCACCACCTACACACACACCATACCATCACTACCTACACGCACACACACCATACCCATCACTACCTACACGTACACACACCATACCCATCACTACCTACACACACACACACCATACCTATCACCACCTACACACACCATACCCATCACCACCTACACACATAATACCCATCACCACCTACGCACACAATACCCATCACCACCTACACGCACCATACCCATCACCACATGCACACACCATACCCAACACCACCTACACACACCATACCCATAACCACCTACACACACCATACCCATCACCACCTACACACACCATACCCATCACCACCTACACACACCATACCCATAACCACCTACACACACCATTCCCATCACCACCTACACACATTATACCCATCACCACCTACACACACCATACCCATCACCACCTACACACACCATACCCATCACCACCTACACACACCATACCCATCACCACCTACACACACCATACCCATAACCACCTACACACACCATTCCCAACACCACCTACACACACCATACCCATCACCACCTACACACACCATACTCATCACCACCTACACACACCATACCCAATACCACTTACACACACCATACCCATAACCACCTACACACACCATACCCTTCACCACCTACACACACCATACTCATCACCACCTACACACACCATACCCAATACCACCTACACACACCATACCCAATACCACCTACACACACCATACCCAACACCACCTACACACACCATACCCAACACCACCTACACACACAATACCCATCACCACCTACACACACAATACCCATCACCACCTACACACACCATACCCATCACCACCTACACACACCATACCCATCACCATCTACACACACCATACCCATCACCACCTACACACACCATTCCCATCACCACCTACACACACACCATACCCATCACCATCTACACACACCATACCCATCACCACCTACACACATAATACCCATCACCACCTACACACACACAATACCCATCACCACCTATACACACAATACCTATCACCACCTACACATACCATACCCATCACCACCTACGCACACCATACCCATCACCACCTACACACACCATACTCATCACCACCTACACACACCATACTCATCACCACCTACACACACCATACCCAACACCACCTACACACACCATACCCAACACCACCTACACACACAATACCCATCACCATCTACACACACCATACCCAACACCACCTACACACACCATACCCATCACCACCTACACACACAATACCCATCACCATCTACACACACCATACCCAACACCACCTACACACACCATACCCAACACCACCTACACACACCATACCCATCACCACCTACACACATAATACCCATCACCACCTACACACACCATACCCATCACCACCTACACACACCATACCCATCACTATCTACACACACCATACCCAACACCACCTACACACACCATACCCAACACCACCTACACACACAATACCCATCACCACCTACACACACCATACCCAACACCACCTACACACACCATACCCAACACCACCTACACACACCATACCCAACACCACCTACACACATTATACCCATCACCACCTACACACACCATACCCATCACCACCTACACACACCATTCCCATCACCACCTACACACACACCATACCATCACTACCTACACGCACACACACCATACCCATCACTACCTACACGTACACACACCATACCCATCACTACCTACACACACACACACCATACCTATCACCACCTACACACACCATACCCATCACCACCTACACACATAATACCCATCACCACCTACGCACACAATACCCATCACCACCTACACACACAATACCCATCACCACCTACACACACCATACCCATCACCACCTACACACACCATACCCATCACTATCTACACACACCATTCCCAACATCACCTACACACACCATACCCAACACCACCTACACACACAATACCCATCACCACCTACACACACCATACCCAACACCACCTACACACACCATTCCCATCACCACCTACACACACACCATACCATCACTACCTACACGAACACACACCATACCCAACACCACCTACACACACCATACCCATCACCACATACACACACCATACCCAACACCACCTACGCACACAATACCCATCACCACCTACACGCACCATACCCATCACCACCTACACACACAATACCCATCACCACCTACACACCATACCCATCACCACATACACACACCATACCCAACACCACCTACACACACCATACCCAACACCACCTACACACACAATACCCACCACCATCTACACACACCATTCCCAACACCACCTACACACACCATACCCATAACCAGTTACACACACCATACCCATCACCACCTACACACACACACCATACCCTTCACCACCAACACACACCATACTCATCACCACCTACACACACCATACCCAACACCACCTACACACACCATACCCATAACCACCTACACACACCATACTCATCACCACCTACACACACCATACCCAACACCACCTACACACACCATACCCAACACCACCTACACACACCATACCCATCACCACCTACACACACCATACCCATCACCACCTACACACACCATACCCTTCACCACCTACACACACCATACCCATCACCATCTACACACACCATACCCATCACCACCTACACACACCATACCCATCACCACCTACACACACCATACTCATCACCACCTACACACACCATACCCAACACCACCTACACACACCATACCCAACACCACCTACACACACAATATCCATCACCACCTACACACACCATACCCATCACCACCTACACACACAATACCCATCACCACCTACACACACACCATACCATCACTACCTACACACAAACCACACATTGCCACCTCTCCTTCTCTATTTCCCACTCTCCTGCATCTCTCACCCTCTCCATGTTTGTCCCCCCCACCTCCCTTCATACTTCCTGCCCCTTTCCACATTCTCTCCCCATCTCACAACCTCTCTCCTCTCTCTCTCTCTCCTTTCCTCTCGTCACTCATGTCGGAAAACCTAACACCATTTACTACCATTTAATACAATAGGCAGATAATATTACTGCTGGGTTGTATAAATAAATTCACTTATAGAAAATTTAGCCTAGAGAAACTTTCCGTCAATAGAAAACGGGGAATATCATTGCTACGTTGCTATTAAATTCAGCAGCTAATTCTGTTGGTAGCTTCTTAATATAGCAGTCATTGGACTGTACACATCATAAAAATATTTCCCTTGAATCAACTTAATTATTAGCACCAAAATAGAGTAAATGTGGCCCCTCTACCAGTTCTTAACATCTGAACAAGAGCGCCAGAGCGTCAGTGGAGGAGGGCAGGAGGCAGCCATTGTTAAATTTAACAGCAAGTCGAAGGAGCAAATTTATTTAGAATAATTCTCCCTTGGACAGCTGAGTTACAGAAGTAAAGTGCTTCCGTTATCAACACACTACTACGTTTATTATCCTGGAAGATGTCTATCCGATTCCAATACTATCTAGCTTATTAGAGGCCATTAATATTTAGATTTACGATATATTCCAGCTAGAACACGAGACAGCGACATAACCAAGGTAAATATTCCTTGGTCCTTATCACATAATCAATATATTAGTATTTCCTCTGATATAGTTGTCATATATATATAGGATTACTGCTATAATGTGTGAGTTCCTTTTGACAGGTGTACCAGAAGAGGAACAAGAATTAACACTAGTAACCTAGTACTCCAGTATGTAAGTTGGAGGCCAGCTACACCCAAAGTGTATCGACTGGCTTATTCTTCAGTATTAATACTGGTTGTCTAGGATATAACAACAATAAGATAAGCTGTAGTTAATTTTAGTTACCTATGTAGTCTAATAATGTAGTGAATGTTTACTAACCAGTAATTTATATGGTTGACTACAATTGAACCACAAAACCCCCATAATGTGTAAAGGAGTCGATTTGTGGGAATTTTAAAAAATACAGTCTGCTTTAACCATCATAAAATTTGCTATCGAAATATATAAATTAACATATAATATAAATTCTACATAAATTCATATATGTATTAAATAAATATAAATCTATCAGGTCAGTTCCCCACAAATCATCCTTCTGGCTGCCTCTATTTTTCTGATTGTCTTCCTCTCTCTCTCTCTCTCTCTCTCTCTCTCTCTCTCTCTCTCTCTCTCTCTCTCTCTCTCTCTCTTTGCCCTCGTCGACCCGGTTCCTCTCCCTCTCTTTGTGCGTCTCTCCGTCTCTGTATGTTTGTCTGTCTCTATACGTCTCTACGTCTCTCTGTGTCTATACGTCTCTCTGTTTCTATACGTCTCTCTGTCTCTATACGTCTCTCCGTCTCTATACGTCTCCCTGTCTCTATATGTCTCTTTGTCTCTATACGTCTCTCTGTCTCTATACGCCTCTCTGTCTCTATACGTCTCTCTGTCTCTATACGTCTCTATATGTCTCTCTGTCTCTATACGTCTCTATGTCTCTGTCCGTCTCACGGTCTCTGTACGTTTCTATCTTTATCAATTTCTCCTTTTGCATATATCATTCGGTGTGTCTATCATGGTCTGACTTTCAATCACACATTCATACACACATTCACACACACATTCATACTCACATTCATACACACATTCATACACACATTCACACACACATTCATACACACATTCACACACACATTCATACACACTTTCATACACACATTCATACACACATTCATACACACATTCACACACACATTCATACACACTTTCATACACACATTCATACACACATTCACACACACAGCACTCCTTCTTACTCCCTGAGAAGTAAGGCAAACGAAGCAGGAAGGCGGAAGGAGAGTGAAGGTCAGAAGTGAACTAGCACAGTTTACCTTGTGGACAGCTCACTGACATTCCTCTTGCACTTCTCGTGTTCCTCTTCCATCAAGCTACTCTTTTCAGCCATTTTGTTCTTCTCCTCTTGAGTACTTCTGAGCTGCTGTGCCTGTCTGTCTTTTTCACTCTGTAGAGCCGTGTTTCCAACCCGTAACTTACTGGCCTCTTCTTCAATGACGGAGAGTTGCTCTTCAATAAGTCTTTTCTCCACTTCAGTCTTTCTGATTGTTTCTTCTTTTTCTTCCTTCAGAACAACGTTTGCTGTTTGAAGGACCCTGACCTGTTCCTCCAGGAGTGAGAGTTGCTCTTTAACAAGTCTTTTCTCTCCTACTGTGTTATTATTTAACTCTTGCAGCTGTTGTGTCTCTCGCTCTAGCTCACTGACCCTCGTCAACGCCGTCTTGACCCTCTCCTGGGCTCGGGTCTCCGCAAGCTCCAGCTGTAGGTTCTTCGTCTTGACCAGCCTTGAGTCCTCCTCCACTTGACGAATGTCAGCCATTAGTCGACGATTTGCCTCCTCTGCTATGCGAACATCGTTCTTAGTCTTCCTGTTTTCTTCCTTGACCAGCCTCGAATCCTCCTCCGCTTGACGGATCTCTTCCTTGACCAGCCTCGAGTCCTCCTCTACTTGACGGATCAGGGACTTTAATTGAATATTTTCCTCCTGAACAAGGCGCACTTCGTTCTTAGTCTTCATGTTATCCTCCTTGACCAGCCTCGAGTCCTCCTCCACTTGACGGATCTCCTCCTTGACCAGCCTCGAGTCCTCCTCCACTAGACGGATCTGGGACTTTAATAGCACAATCTCCTCCTGAGCAATGTGCACTTCGTTCTTAGTCTTCCTGTTGTCCTCCTCGAGCAATTGATTCGCTGTATATAGGCGAGTATTTTCTTCCTTCAGCTTGAGGTTGTCAGCTTGGTGAGCCTTGTTGAGGCACTCCAGCTGGTCCAGAGTGTCCAGGAGGCGGCGGGTGGCGTTCTCCCTCTCCTTCACACCTGCCAACACATCAAATATTAAGCTATATTTCTTGTAAATATAAATTCACATTTTTGTATATATTAGATTTAAATACTGAAGGATATAGCATCATCCGTGATATTGCTCCTGATCTTACCGCTGAATGTCCAGCCACTCATTAAACACTTTTACTTGTATGTAATTGGCAACATTTTATTATGTTAACCTCTTCATGAAGCACACACCTGGCCAAACTGTGCACTCCAGGCCTTGAAGTACGCTCCAAGCCCTGAATTACACTTCAGACCCGGAAGTACACTCCACACCCTGACGTACACGCAGGCATGGAAGTACACTCCACTCCGGACCTGAAATACACTCCAGACCATGAAGTACACTCCAGACCATTAAGTACACTCCAGACCATGAAGTACACTCCAGGCCCAAGAGTGCATTCCAAACCCTGAAATACACTTCAGGCCCTAAAGTACATTTATATCCCTGAAGTACACTCCATGCTCTGACGTACACTCCAGATCCTGAAATACACATTAGACCATGGAGTACAATCCAAGGCCTTAAGTAAACTTCAGAATTTAAAAAACACTCCAGGCTCATAATTACACTAGAAACCCTGAAGAACGCTACAGACCGTGAAGTACACTCCAGACCCTGAAGTACATTCCACAGCTTGAAGTACGCTTCAAGGGGCCTGACAGCTGAGTGGACAGCGCTTCAGATTCGTAGTCCTGAAGTTTCGGGTTTGATCCGCAGTGGAGGCTGAAACAAAATGGGCAGAGTTTCTTTCACCCTGATGCCCCTGTTACCTAGCAGTAAATAGGTACCTGGGAGTTAGAAAGCTGCTACGGGCTGTTTCCTGGGGGTGTATAACAAAAAAGTAGGCCTGGTCGAGGACCGGGCCGCGGGGAGGCTAAGTCCCGAAATCCTCTCAAGACATCCGCAAGATAACGCTAAAGATCCTGAAGCAAAGTCCAAGCCATGAAGAACACTCCATTCCCGTAAGAAATCTCCAGGCATTAAAGAACACTCCAGACCCTGAAGTACACTCCAGGCCCTGAAGTACACTCTAGGCCCTGAAGAACACTCAGGTACCTGAAGTAAACTTCAGACCCTGACGTACAATCCAGGACGTGAAATACATTTCAGACACTGAAGTACACCCCAGGCCCTGAAGTATACTCCAGGCCCTGAAGTACACTCCAGGCCCAGAATTACTTTCAAAGTTCGGCATACAATTAAGGTCCTGAAGCATACTCAAAGTCCTAATGTTTGCTGTAAGACCCAAAGTACACTCCAGACCCTGAAGTACACGTTCAGACCTCGAAAAACGCTAAAAACTCCGTAGTACACACCAGGCCTTAGGAACACTTCAGGACCTAAATTACTCTACTCCCTGAAGTGCACTCCATATCCTGAAGTGCATTCAGACCATGAAGTACACTCCAGAAGTTCCATAACAAAAATATGCAAATATATCATGGTTTATTACTATTATGACATCAATAAATGAATTTAGGAAGAAATGCTCTTTCTACAAATTTGTAGAAACATAAACTCTACATATAAGTTGTAAGTTTCATGTAAACTGAACATAAAATGAAAGAGTTATAGGAACCTTTATGTTACTAGAAAAAATCAGTTAAAAATTAAGTCTAAGGTGCTGCCATCTGTGGCTGAGATTGACATCAACCAATTTCCTGGCACCGTTGGCACCCTTAGAGATAGGCTTACGTGCATTCAGGTGTATAAGTTTCATGCAAATCGCCCGATAAACAAATAAGAAAAAAATATAAAAAAATTTACTACATTTTTTTGGATAAAACTAATTATTAAATATTTTTTTATATGCTATTGTGATCATAGACATGATTTCAGTTGACACTTGTGTTTGATGTTAATTTTTGACCATTTTGGAAAAATTTTGACACATATTTCAATATTTTTTCTCCCTTCCTATTTAAGCTACAATGCTGAGACTTGGACCAGATGAAACCCTTTTCATATACAACTCGTCAAAAAAGTTTGATTGAAATCGAACTAGTTTTTATTTATTGCATATTTTTGGACTGATGCCCCCTTAAAGCTCGAAGAACACACTAGGCCCAGAAGTACACTCAAGGACGTGAAGGACATTTCAGACCCTAACGTGCACTCCAGGCTCTGAAGTATACTCCAGACCCTGAAGTACACTTCATGATCTGAGGTCCACTCTTGGCATTGAAGTACACTCCAGGATATAAATTGCACTAAAGACCATGAAGAATATTCCAGACCATGAAGAATATTCCAGACCCTGAAAGACACTCCAGACCATGAAGAATATTCCGGACCCTGAAAGACACTCCAGACCATGAAGAATATTCCGGACCCTGAAAGACACTCCAGACCATGAAGAATATTTCAGACCCTGAAAGACACTCCAGACCATGAAGAATATTCCGGACCCTGAAAGACACTCCAGACCATGAAGAATATTCCGGACCCTGAAAGACACTCCAGACCATGAAGAATATTCCAGACCATGAAGAATATTCCAGACCCTGAAAGACACTCCAGACCATGAAGAATATTCCAGACACTGAAAGACACTCCAGACCATGAAGAATATTCCGGGCCCTGAAAGACACTCCAGACCATGAAGAATATTTCAGACCATGAAGAATATTCCAGACCCTGAAAGACACTCCAGACCATGAAGAATATTCCAGACCCTGAAAGACACTCCAGACCATGAAGAATATTCCAGACCCTGAAAGACACTCCAGACCATAAAGAACACTACAGAATCTGAAGTACAATCAAGGATGTGAAGAACACTTCAAACCCTGATGTATGCTCCAGGCCCAGAAGTACACTTCAGACTCTTAAACACACTGCAGGACCGGAGGTACACTTTAGACCTTAAAGTACTAATTATTACTTGAAGCACACTCCATGCCTTGAAGTACACTCCAGGATCTGAAGTACACTCCAGGATCTGAAGTACACTCCAGGCCCTCAAGTACACTCCAGGCCTTGAAGAACCCTCCAATATCTGAAGTACATTCCAGGCCATGAAGTACAATCCAGGTACTACAGAACACCCCCAATTCCTGAAATGCAAACCATGAAGAACTCTCCAGACCCTGAAGCGAACTGCAGGCCCTGAAAAACACTCCAGATTTTGAAGTATTTATAAAGATATGAAGTACACTTTAGACCCTGAAGTACAAAACAAGCCTTAAAGTAACCTCCATGCCCTGAAGTATACGACATGACGAAATGTACACTCCAAGCATACCAATACACTCCAGACCCTAAACTACACTACCCAGCAAAAAAATTTAGGTTTTAGGTTGCCAGTACGTGTGGAGTGGTAAATTGGTTGCCACAAGTTACTACACAGAGTTATGTAAAACATATTTGAGACCTTGTGGCAACCTTAAATAATGCATAAAAGTCGTTTCTACTATTTATGATATATATAGGAACTAAATATATAGAAAATATTATTAGAAATTAAACATGAGCGTAATAGAGGTTAGTTCAAAATTTTTATTCATTACGTTATTTTTACGTTATTAATGCAAAATCCGTTGTGGTGGTGGTTGTTGTTTGTGGTTGATGGTAGTGGTAGTAGATGGTTATGGTTGGTGACAGTGTTGGTAGATGGTTGTGGTTGGTGGCAGTGTTGGTAGATGGTTGTGGGTGGTGGCAGTGTTGGTAGATGGTTGAGTTTGGTGGCAATGTTGGTAGATGATGTGGTTGGTGGCAGTGTTGGTAGATGGTTGAGTTTGGTGGCAGTGTTGGTAGATGGTGGTGGTTGGTAGCAGTGTTGGTAGATGGTGGTCGTTGGTGGCAGTGTTGGTGGATGGTAGTGGTTGGTAGCAGTGTTGGTAGATGATTGTGGTTGGTATCAGTGATGGTAGATGATTGTGGTTGGTATCAGTGATGGTAGATGGCTGTGGATAGTGGCACTGTTGGTAGATGGTGGTCGTTGGTAGCTGTGTTAGTAGATATTGGTAGCAGTGTTGGTAGATGGTGGTCGTTGGTAGCTGTGTTAGTAGATATTGGTAGCAGTGTTGGTAGATGGTGGTCGTTGGTAGCTGTGTTAGTAGATATTGGTGGCAGTGTTGGTAGCTGTGTTAGTAGATATTGGTGGCAGTGTTGGTAGATGGTGGTAGTTGATGGCAGTGTTAGTAGATGGTTGTGGTTAGTGGCAGTGTTGGTAGATGGGTATTTTTGGCGGCAGTGGTAGTTGATGGTTGTGGTTGACGTGGCAGTGGTAGTTGATGTTTGTGGTTGGTGGTAGTGGTGGTTGATGGTTTTGGTTGAAGGCAGTGGTGGTTGATGGTTGAGTTTGGTGGCAGTTATGGTTCCTGGTTGTTGTTGGTAGCTGTGGTGGTTCATGGCTGTGGCTGGGGGCAGTGTGGTTTTTGTTTGTGGGTGGTGGCATCGGGGTTAGATGATTGTGGTTAATGGTTGTGGTTGGTGAGAGTGGTTGTTGGCAGTGATGGCTGATGGATGTGGTTGGTGGCAATGGTAGTTGATTGCTGTGGTTGGTAATAGTGGTGGTTGAAGGTTGTGGTTAGTGGCAGAGTTGGTTGAATGTTGTGGTTGAAGGCAGTGGTCGTTGATAAATGTTGCTGGTGGCAGAGGTGGTTGATTGTTATGGTTCGTTACAGTGGTGGTTGATTGTTGTGGTTTGTGGCAGTGGTGGTAGATAGTTGTGGTTGGTGCCAGTAGTTGTTGATGGCTGTGCCAGTTGTAGGTGATTGGCCTGATTGGTGGCAATGGTTGGTAATGGTTGTAGTTGGTGGCAGTTGTGGTTGATTTTTTTTATTGGTAGCAGTTGTAGTTGAAGGTAGTGATTGGTGAATGTGACACTTGCTGGCCATGGTTAGTTCAGTGGTGGTTGATGGTTGTTGTTGGTTGTGCTTGGTGGTTGTTGTTGGTTCCTGTTGGTGTTGATTGAGGTTGGCGGTGGCATCGGTTGTTGATGGTGGTAGTTGTTAGTGGTTGATGTTTGTGGTAGTAG